TGAGAAGTTGCTGTCTAAGCCATATCACAATCCATTAGGACCCCATCGAACCAAGTTATTTTCATAATAGCAGCTCCTTATTGTGAAAAAGTGCTCGAATCGGTAGGGACATTCTGAAAATGACATTTGAATGTCTATTCGGTTACAGATATCCATTCAACTTTGAAGATAATACCGTATCCCTGATGAAGACGGTGCCATTTTCCCAATTCATAAGATATGAAGAGGTTGTAACCGTAGGTTTAAAATTTCGGTAATTGGTTTTTAGGCCCCAACGTTCTTGTTGCGAATTTATTAAAGTTATCACTTTAGATGCTCCAAAATTTCAAAACCAGGCTTATATCATATTTCACTTCCAGTTACCTTGTATGACTGATCGGGAAGAAGCCTGAGTCAATATGCTTAACCCAAGTTTTTGTTACTTTATTCGACAAAAACGAGTACCAACTGCTGATGCAATAATGGGAGGATGTAAATTCACAATAAATAAATGTGACTGTAATCGCAATGCATCATAATGCTTACGGCAGATTGAAATTCCAAATATGACTATTCTATAGTATTGCTAGAGACATATTTTATTCAAATTCATAAAAATGTATACTAACTGACATATAAATCCGAACACCCAGTTTAAATGGTTTTATTTTAATAAAATTTTGTATAAGTACTTAATGAAGCATAATAAGTAAATGATAAAAATTTGAAAATGATTGCACTGCTTTAAAGCCCTTTGATGTGCTACGCATTCTCCAACGCGCCTAGGCATGCTTCTGATCAGGTGGTCAATGTCCTCTTGTGGTATCTCATTCCAGGCAACCACCAACTCCTCTCGAAGTGCTTCTAGAGTCTGAGGAGGACGTTGCAAATTGAGCAATCTCCTATCCATCATATCCCACACGTGCTCAATTGGGGATAAGTCGGGAGATCTTGGTGGCCATGGTAACAATGTGACATCATTATGTTGAAAGAAGTCTATTGTGACTCTTGCAACATGTGGTCGGGCATTATCTTGTTGGAAAGTTGGATCTGCCAGGGTGTCAAGATAGGGTAAAAGATGGGGTTCTAGAACTTCGTGGATATAACGCTGCGCGTTCATGTTACCTCTGATGAAGATTAAAGGTGACCTGGAACCATAAGCTATAGCACCCCAAACCATAACTCCAACAGTGTGATGAACATGTCTTTCAACAAGAAACTGTGGATTCCTCCTTTCACCACGTCGCCTTCTAACCCTGGCGCGACCATCGTGCATGCCTAAACAAAATCGAGACTCGTCACTAAAGACAATACTGTTCCATTCCTGATCCCAGAGTGACCGTTGTCTGCACCACTCAAGGCGATTACGTCGGTGTTCTCGAGTTAAAGGGAGGACCCAGTGTGGCCTGTATGAAAACAGGCCAAAATTTCTCATTCGTCGGTAAACACTTCGCATGCCAATAGGTCTTCCGGGTTCTGCAAACCATTCATTTGCAATGGACCTGGTAGTGGAGAAACGGTCCCTTAAGGCCAATAATCTTAGGCGGCGATCTTCACGGTCTGTTGTTCTACGGCGGCGTCCAATGCCCCTTGCTCTTTACGTACGGCCTTCTCGAAGCCATGCCTGATAACACCTAACCACAGTGTCTACACTTCTTTGCACTCTAACTGCAATTGCCCGAAAAGAAAGTCCAGCTTCCCGAAGTCCCACTATACGGCCCCTATCAAACTCACTAAGTTGACGAAATCGTACAGGTCTCCGTACTCTAGGCATCGTAACCGATCGTAAGGGATGTCAAGAACCAAAATCCGCCAACGTTGATTCTTTACTGCGGCTGAAATATTCATTTTTAGAGCGTTAGTGAATTAAAAAAAGCAGTATAAAAACCGGAATGTCCAACTGATAAGGCTGAAAATTTTTTCACTTGTTATTTACAGTAAGATAAATACATTCACCAACTTTTATTAAAATAAAACCATTTAAACTGCGTGTTCGGATTTATATGTCACTTAGTATATTTTCCTCAGGAATCGGCAAAGGGACACCTAATAAACAAATCAATGATTCAATCGCCATTCTGACTTTTGCATTTTTTATCTTCATAGGAAGGCTATAAGACAGAAAAACTGAAATATCAATGAACGCTAATGAATTAAAAAGGTTCCAAAGGCATTCAATTCCCTTAGCTATTCAGCCATTTTTATTGTGGATGTCATTTATTCGTAAAGTATTTGTATAAATCTTCAAGACTCAGATGCACTGTTCCAGAATAATAAATAAATTAATAATTATTTATGGAGGATTTCGTCGTTGTCATCTTTTCTTGTAAATTTATACTCGTAATCCGTACACACTCTGGTTCAATTGCCGTGTGTTGCAAAATGGGGTGACAGTTCCACTCAAATTACTATCAAACTCAAATGAATAATGAGCGTACATGTTGCGAATTCCAAATACTATGAAAAAACTTAGAACAATACATTATCAAATAGACTGATATTAATATGCCAGATATATTTACACATATACAATTGTAGGATGTCTTTATGGCCTCCTTGATTTACATAGTTTTTCCTGTCCTTCAGAACGACGCTCTATTTTGCGGTCATGTTACAAATATCTATTTGCATCAAATTATTAATGCTTTTGAAATTTATCATCTGTTTTGTCAGCCTGAAATTTTCTGCGATTCAAAAAGAAAACATAGACTCACAGTAGGAGAGCGCTGACGCTGACACGGAACAGTAGAAATATAGAAACATCCTAGCCCTTCTGAAGGAGTGAAAAGACTATGCAAATCAAGGAGGCCATAATGGAGTTCTACAATTGTACGGTCCTTAGTCTACCATCAGAGGTTAAAAAACCACATTAAGCCTAAAATAGTCATCGAGCTCTTATAGGGGAAGGTTTGAGCTGTATTTTGGATACTCGGAAACCTCAAAATTAACTTTTACAGAGTTTTTGAACGTTGACGTCTTTACGGTTTTTCCTAAAGCCCTAAATTTAATTTTTTGTAATATGTTAAGTAATGTTCAAACAAATTTACACTTGGTTACCACCCAGATAAATCTTGAGTCTTGGAATTGGAAATTTTCTCCGACGAATGCGAGGTTTTCGCCTCCATCTCATATCCCATCATCTGTTCAAAAATGGGATTATCATGGCCTGTTTGGAATAAGTAATTACAGCAGACACACAAATTTACCAAATTTTCATTAATATTTTTTCTACAGTTACAAATCGCACTAAACAGTACCGATTGTAACATTATTAACTCAATTATTCTCAATACTGAGGTAGTGTTATAGACCTGTTAGTAATGGTATCTTTCTAACTGCATTATTTTGACATATTTTTGGATTTGTGTTTGTGACGTTTCCTATATTCTTGTAGTTCACTAGGATAAATACTATTACTATCATATTACTATTGTGGAAGCTTACGATTACTTGAAATCTAGAAATAAAAATGAAAACTGGCGAAGCAACAAGTGATCCCCAAAAAGAGTTATGTCTCACAATATGATTATTTCAACGTTGTTGCGTCGGCGATGTTAGCAGAAAACGAATAAGTTCTTTGTAATGCATTTTACAGAGTGCTGCAGCATTTTTTAAGCAAATAAAAAAAAATGTTTTTTTTTTCGCTGAATACGAAATTTTTACTTTTTCTTTCCACGCCTACTGGCGTATCGTAACCGCTAAAAATTTAGAAAATGACATATTACAATTTTTAGATGTACATCGCGAAAAACTATGTTACACACCATCTGTCGGTCTGCCGGTCCGTTTGTCTGTCTGTCGATCTGTCTACCTGTCTGTCTGACGGTCTGTCCGCAAATCGTTGGCCGTTCTAAAACTTGAAAAGTACTGCTCGGACTTGAATGGAATTGCCAAGGACGAAAAAGCATTGCAGGTTTTGAAAATCGATCCTGCTCATTTTCAGACATTGTTTGGAGGGGTTGAATATAGTAGGTTGCACGCTGTATGCGGTAAAAGGTTGAGTTGTAGCATGTTTGATGTCAGTGAAAGACCTTCTATAATTAAGATGCTCCAATCCCGGTAACATTATGCAACTGTTAGACATAATGAGTCACGCATGTTTTTTCTATATCTGCCTTGGATTTTTTTGGGATCTTTCTGAGCAAAATAACCTTTAGCAACATTTATTTTAAGTTGACAGGTTTTGAGTTTTATTCGATTTACTGTCTGCCCAAAATGGACATTTTCTGTACTTACTAACTGGGTTAGCAATTATTATTGTCGAAGTTACTAAATATCCGAATTAACGTACAAAACTTTCCGTACAAGGCCACTTAGTATTTTCGGTTTATTTTATCTTAAAAGAACCTTTAACCTTGCTTGGTAGACTAACAAATCGCAATCTTTCGATTTCCGTAGACTGTAAAGCGTGTCCGGCTATAAACTGACCTCCCCTCCAACTTGTTTATATGACCTTCTGGAAAAAAAGTTGTATATAACAGTTATGGAGTCTAATACGAAGTTTTCATGTAATATATATGATTTGTTAAACTTTTTTTTGTTACTTTAGTCAAAAAGTTGATTTAATCATATGTATTCCGGCCCTAGATCGGATTGCATAGGCGGCTAGAGCAAACTAAATGCAAACTGGTTCGAACTCTAATACAGAAATCAATGACAAACAAACTTTAAGATTTTGGTAAAACTAATGAAAATTAGTATGATAAACCATATATATTTTGAATGAAAAAAGATCGCTAAAAGCATAAAGGGTGTTCCATTTAAAAAATACAACTTCATCCGATAGCCCTTTTCTGATATAAAAACAATTTAACATGATAAACTATTGACGGACAACCCGTACACATATTTTTGATTTCACTTGAAATCCAATCACTGGAAGCGGAACACAGAATTACATCCATACATTATGTTAAGTCAAGCGTAAAAATGTGAACGGTGGGTTTTTAAGTGTGTGGACAGGCTCGGATTGGGACGAACGGCACTGCTGCATCTGATCCATCATCCGTGTGTGCTTCCAGAAACGCGAGATTCCCTGGGAGAAAGTGCCCTTCGTCCCGAGGCCGAGTCTGGTCGCCGATCCAGTGACCGCCTTTGGTAAGAAAAAGCCCGCCGCCGAGAATCCTTATGAAGCTAAAGACAAAAGGAGGTAAGAGCAGATACATGTTTTTTTTAAGAATCCGCCTTTTGAAGGACATTTATCTTTTTGTAAGATGCCTGGGCGGGTGTCAAAACACAAGGTGTTTTCCTTATTAATTTAGGTTTCTGTGGCATACCCGTCTAAGGAATGCTGAATCACAGTTTAGTTACGTGGCACATAGGCCAAGAAAAAGGGATACTTTGTATAAGGAGATGCTACAATTTGGGCAACAGTGATTTTTTTTTGGTGTGATCATCAGATTACTGCTATCTAATGATAAGTTCAAATTGGCGTCATGATAGGGGCGCAGCATATGATGCGATTTTGATAAACGCGCTTAATTGAAAATCTCGAAAACCATCAGTACTATGTAAAAAACTAGTAGGCGTGGGAAATAAAAACACAACTACCTAACTCTAACTAACTGTACACTCCAAAATGGTACTTTTATAGATAAACTTATCGAGTTATCCCCACATAAAAACATGTTGGGTGGGTAACGTACCTAGAATGTGAGTATGCCACGCGACTGTTTGGTACGATTTTTTGTAGAAAATTTTATTATCTACATAAAGAAGTAGTAGTATTTATACGTTGTTAGTTTTTATGATAAGCAAAAATATCATGTACCTTTAGCCTTAAATTTCGTGTAACCTGTTTCATAAAAGCAAAACGATAAATAGTTTTATAAATTTATTGTTTCTATTACTTTTTACATAGGATCGATGGTTTTCGAGATTTTCGATCAAACGTGTTTTTCAAAATGGAGGCAAATGCTCCAGTCCTACCATAACGCCAATTTGAGCAATAATCTAGCGACATCAGCAAAATAATCACTGCCGTCCAAATTGTAGGAAACTAGGACTATTCTCAGACAAGAGTTACTTAAGAAGTGTGCATCAAGCATCCTGTTAACGGGACGCTCTGAACAGGACGAAGGATGGAACTTTCCTTTTCAAAAACAACACTGTGCTTGGAAATAGTGAAGCTAATGTGCGGCGAAACAGCAGCGAACACGTAAAAAGGCAAGGACATCGCTCATTTGATAAGAAGCTCAAGTAACACACTATTAATACAGATCGCTGTTTGATTCAAAAACAGAAGTTTGATCTCAATTTGCAGCTATTTTAGTTCAACTGTGCCTATCTCGCCATTCATTTAAATGCCCCTAGCTTCTTGTACTGGATAAGAAGCCTATACTGCACACAAAGAGAACGTCCAGGAAGATACATGATATCGACAAATTCGTGCCTGCACAAGGAGTGTGCCATTTTCGTTTTACATAGCCGATTTATAAACATACAGTGTGGCTTACGTATACTATGTCTGAGTTCAATACTGACGCACGTCGTACCTTTTCAGCTAATCGTATGTTTTTAAGCAGGTTTTTTTTATTTCGAAGCAGCCGACTAAATACCAGGGTACCGCGGCTGCTATGTGGAGCTTAATGAAGCTTTGTGTATCCGATTTTTGAACTGCCCAAGGTCAGTAGAACTGAGAAAAAGCTTCCTTGAGTATCAGCTAGTTCTAGATGGATGAAGTTCCTCACGGTTTGGATGGGAGGCCGAAGTCAGGCGGGTCTGTCTGGCAGGCAGATTGCCTGAGGAGCAAAGAATGTTGACATAGCGGTAGAAGAGAGCCAGATCGCCAACGGCTCGTCCGTGCGAAAGGGTTGCGAAACTGCCTGTTAAAGTCACCGATCTATCGGAGAGGCCTCCTCTGAACAACATCATCATCATTGGTAAAGTAGGCGGGGCGGCAACACCCTAAGCATGCGAGCAGTACTCGAGGCTAGGTCATATCGGGGCCGTGTACAGACTGAGCAGCTTATGTGGACAAAAGTAATGTATTTTTCAGAAATATCCATTACGTTTTGTCGTCGACTGAGCTGGTCACAAAATCGACATCTTTGTATTAGTCTGTAACGTGGACAATAATGCATTTCAGGACCGTATTGTTGTTCGCATATCTGGATTATAGTTTTAAGTCACTGGTAAAAGTGACAATAAAATGTACGAAGTACATCAATAAAAATGTTTATCAGGAAATTATTATAGTACATATGGAATTTTTTGATTACGAGTTCAATAAAGTCAATAGAACAGGCTGCGTTGTCGTTTTATGTAATTTTACCTGTAGAAATAATGTAGACACTTGCTTCTGATACATCCAAATGAATGTCTTACTCTCTTTGTGAAACCGTAAACTAAATTTCTTATTTTCCTCCTATAAGCGCCATCATTTTCCACGCGACGGCGATGTTTGAGTTTCCTTTGGATTTTTGCAGTATTTCAACAGTTGGCCCATGCCTGTATTCACGAACACTGCATTGGCTTAGTTGAGTACATTTCATGACTTCCTGCAATAGCGGTACATTTTACCTACATTTTTCTTATTTCTAACTTGTTAGATTTGACTTATTCAGGGAATCGAACCTCTATCAATTCGGTCTTATACTGCCACACATTTTGGATTAATTGTATGGCTTTTACATTGCCATTAAAATCATATGATGTTTCAAGTTCGAAAAAGTAGAGATGATTAACATGGTCAAAACTGTTAATCTTATTTTATTCCTACCTGATGTGAAATATAGTAATGATCATTAGTAGCCATCTTGCTTGACGCGTTTTTTATACGCAAAGAAACTTTTCTAAGTAAAAGTGTACAAGTTGAATCTGTAACGAACACAAAACCACAACAAAATACGGATCGGTCTACCTGGCGTTGACGGATCTCTCAGAATTAATTATGTGTCACTTGTCGATATAGAATACCACTAGATAATCAGCTGTTATTCTACCGTGATGGATACTCGTGAAAAATACTGCACTTCATAACCCTAAGCAACTAGCCTAGCTTTTCCCAGCAGCTGCCGCGATTGACCACATCTTTTCGTGCCACATCAAGCCTTCGCTGATCTGAACTCCGACTATCCGAAATATTAGGCTTTTTGATATAACTCGGCCATCTATCGAAACAGGATGAGGGCTAAGGAGCTCCTTGTTAGTCAAGGTACATTACTGTGTTTTGGAAGCATTCAACTGTACCAGATTACGTCATAATCTTTAGGAAGGAGAGAGGAAGTCGTTGCTAGTCTTCTTTTTTCCAGCTCACCGGCAGAGATCGGATTGTCACTCTGAATTTTTGCATGTAGAGTGCTGCAAACAGCAAAGCTGTAGATCGGAGGCTTTTGTGTAAGTGTTACCAGGACGATTAGCTGATTTTGGCGAAAGCTATGCTTTGTTAAGGAAAGTTCCAACTCACACAATCTTGTATACTATTAGATGTTTTTGTATATTCCCCCGAAAGAAGATATGTGTAGTTTTGACGATGACTTATTGAGCTATCTTATTAAAAAAAACTTTTGTAACCTAAAGCTCATTGATTTTAATATATTGCCTATTTGTTTCATATTTTTCTTCTCCTTCCCCTGACTGATCAAGGTTAAGGTCAAATTGAAAGAAAGATGTGTTACAGCCACTTGATCCAAATTTATGTACCCACATTCTTTTGATATACTTTCAAGTCTATTTTAAAATGAAATTCTCAAAAACCAGAACATTTATATTCCACTAACTTTTCGCATACGTTTTTGGTCTCGATGAGTTTGAATCAGAAGTTGGTTTGTCTCTCTAAGGGCATTTAAAGCTCATATCGTTTCAAAAACAAATCTGGAAGAAGTGAAGCAGTCAAGTTGTAAGGTTTTTCGAGAATTTGTTTGCTTGATGTAGATTTATTTATCATTAATGTTACAATTAATATCAGTGTTAACTAGTATATCACACAATATCTTGTCATCAAGTCTACATATTTTTATACAAAATATCACTACTATGGATTCCTCTTTTCCATGAAATATTTTCCAATTTCGCTTTGAACATGTTCTAACTGGCACACATCTTGATATCATTACTTGATTTCTGAAATTCCTACAATCCTTTTTGGAATACTGATTTGTTTGCTATATTGCTACAACAATGTTGGAAACGGAAGTCTATACTTCCTCTAGTAGAATAACTATGATACTCATTGTTCAATTCAATAAAATTTTGCTAAATGATTTGATAGAAGACGGTCTTTTAACTAACTTTTATCTAATATGAAAATGAAAACCAAGTACCTGGGTTCTGACATTTTTGATATTTAACTATTGTATTTCCAACAGCTATAAAATTTATTCTAGTTGGTATATTTATTTTTATAAGATGACTCTCATAGCTTTGTTTTGTAACATATGTAATTTTATATATATATATATATATATATATATTATAACAAAAAAGGAAGAATGATGCTGTAGACAATTTTTTCAAGAATAAACACTTAGGCTATGGGAAATTCTATAAAATAAATTTATCTTTTTGGAATGGTATATTCACATTGTTCTTCAAATTTTGATTTTATATATGCCCAAATATTTGAATAATTCGATTAACTCATTTTTTATGTTTTATCGTATTTTAATTCCTCCGTGAGATTAGTCTGAAATCATATCGAAACAGCTTTGTAGAAATAGGGAAAGTTCCTTTTATTCCATAATTGTTGAGATAAATGACCTTCAAATAAAAGTAAAAAGCGTGCGAATGTTGACATCTCACAAATTCCATTCAGGTCAATTCTGCACCCTGAAGAGCGGGCTAAAATTAAACCGAAGGCGTATCTGGAACCGGTTAAGCCGTACGTTTCAGCACGCGACGCAACCAAGGAGAAAGTATTCAGCAGCATCCTGAGGAACCAAATGTCACCAAACAGCGAGGCGATGGATCATGTACTCCCTAGAATACATAAAGTAGCGGAAGTGCCCGATCTTCCATATAAAAAGAGGATTGCTTGTAATTCTGATTTACCACCTGTATGGTAAATGTGTTACTAAAATCGGATCTAGAGTGATGGTACCCGACAAAATAGTAGCGATTTTCTCAAAATGTATGATAGTATAAACGGATTATAATCTACAGCCTGAAAGCCAAATTGAGAGATATCTGGACACATGAGGATCATGTTTAACAAAAAGAAATGGTATCGAATAGTACAATTTGTTGCACAAATGTTACAATAAAATACTGAAGAAGTCGTAACGTTATCCGAATCGTCAGACTGACATTCACACTGATCAATGTCAATTTCAGTCTGACAATATTTTCAAATAAATTATCTGCTTTAAGACTTTTATTCTGAAACTTATACGACAAATAGAAATAGTTGTCATTGTACATCACTGTACCTCACAAGTCATAAATGTACAAATATATCACATGTAACACACACATACAATATACTATTTAAAATACAGATGAAAACTCAATATAGATAAGAAATTCTGAAGTCAAAAATAAAAATCCATAAGCTCGTTGTCTTTCGAATTAAAAAATCCTTGATTGTTTGTTTGTAAGCATTCAAATTTAAAGATCCGATCCTTATCGAAAGTTTGATAAAATATTGGGTGCTACATATCTTATACCTTTTTGGATTTGAAACAGCCTAAAAAGTGGAATATTCAAGGTACTAATACTTCTTGTGTTGTAGTTGTTATATTAAATGCTTTCATCGGTGCGCAGATACTATTTAGCATACATTAATACATCGTATATGTATAATGAAGGCAATGTGGGTATTCTCATATCATATTTTATTACACGAAGGGCACGTCTATGTAGGGAGAATAGATGCAGCCTTTCTGAGCCTTGTTACCATGCCGACATTGCATAAGATATGAAAGAATGACATATCGCCAAATAGGTATACCATCTTTAATGCATTGCGGTTCAACGCCGTGGATAAGCTCCTGATTAGGAACATATTTTTTGTAAGTCGTTTGGTTGTCATATCAATATGTCTGTCCCATTTTAGTCTTTCATCGATATTATGTACCGTTGATTGTTGCACATTCTATTCTACAAATTGTGCTATTCGATAACATGATGATGAGTTTCACCAAGTAAAAGCACGTACAATCTAAAACATTTGTAAAAAATATTATACATCAATAACGCCAACTCCGCTTACTAAAATCATTGTTGTCCCAAAGATATATTATGATAACAAACAATAAATAAATGCGATGATATATAAATTTTCGGAAAATAATGGTGGGAAATTCTCATATCAGCTCACAAGCCCTCCTTCAATTTTTTAGAGCATTTTCGAAACAGCCTAGAGCAATGGCTAATTCATTACACTTATTAACTATTAAACTGTAGTTATTACACAACTACCACATTTTAATTTTATCCAATGCCATTTGATGTGTGCAACAAAATCCTGCAATTTTGAGCTTATCTAAATCTAAGCATTTCATGACATATGAAGAAGTAATGTCGGGCTCATAAGTATGGTTATTCAACTTATCTTAACTTAACCTAATGATGTTCGCGCTTCCCTTATTAAATTAGATTAGTTTCTGTTAAGTTAGGTGACTTTATGATCATAACAGATATCTAACTACGAGTTCTCGGATATAAAAATTCTGGTAACCATACATAATTCGCCACCTCACTCTAGATCTCGGCCTAGGTATAGTAGGATTTTTTAGTTTAAAGTTTCTGAATAATGATGAGATAATATTCAACTACACGTTCGTGATTGTCTGATGAAACACATGAGAAGTCTTGTGCCAACTTTCTGGAAAAGTAAACATATCATCTAAAAATTAAACTTTTGTTGAATAGAATGTTTAGTGGTAAATGTTATTGTTGGAGATAATCCAAAGTATGTGTTTCATCTTTTCAACTTAATTGTTCCTCGTGCTCAATTTATGAGTTTCCAGTTTTTACAATGTGTTCAGAAGCTAGTAGTAACAGTACACAACTTATAGCTTGAAAAACGGACGAAATAGGCAGATAGTCTTTACAATGGAAATAATGTAACCATATAATAATAATAATAATGTTGATTTTCTCATCTAATATAACTTCACTGACATAGCAGCTCACTTGCGTATGCAGGATGTCCCAGAATATGTGGTTGTATACCATAACTAGCTCTCTAAGCATTCTCGTATTTTACAAAACAAAATAAGGAATAACAACATCTGTCAATTCACTTATCTTGAATAGGCTGAGAATCCAAGGAAGTAATACTAAATCGTCATCAGGATGCAATATTAATATTAGGTGAAGTCTGTCAGTCTTAAAAGAGGTGACAAAATATTTTGAAATTCCTGCTGCCTGGAATGTCTGAACCTGGCTTATATCAACTTCAGACAGAATACCCTAAAATAAGATACCAAAGTGGCTAAAAAAGGTTTACCGAACATTCACTGTAGAGATAGAGGTAACTAAAAAGTACAGTATTACACATTTGTTTTGTAATCTAAATCAATCTAGAAGTTGCCAACATACTCTGGAACATCGTGTTTAGCAAAGCTGTGAGCTTATGATTTTTTACTAGAAACTGCAGCAGCAATCATCTTAAGTGTATCGTATAGGTACTGGTCATTAGTAGCAGCATGTGGTTATATATGTCGGCGTCAAATGCTGAAATCCGTCATTCCCTGAAATGCCTAGTCAGTTTCCGTATTGCCGGCAAACACCGTAATAGTTTATTATTACAACGTTTGACTAAGCATTTCAGCTATTCCCAGTAATGACTGAAGAATTTCAGTCAAACTCCGTAACAACAACATAAACCTCGTTACTGCATTTGCCTGATTCAGTCATTCATTGTACCAGTTTTGTGTTCATTTGCTTGATTGAGTACACATGTTGTCTTTTCTGTGTTTGTAAAGATGTCGCAGGATTCAGAATTGTTTTACAAGAAACTAAGTGAATACTATGACAGTGTGAATCAGAAAAAACAATTGAATACAAATGAGTTAAAGGAGGTAGGTTATGTTTTATAGTTTTGTGAACCTAACATTATAAAGTACATAGGCTTGCTCAACAGCAGCATCCATTGTTGCCAGATTTCGCACATAAATACTTGATTAAAAAACAATAATGTAATAATAAAGACAAGGTTTTAACCTTTCTTCTTTCTTTTTATTCATGCTTGATTCTTTTTTTAATATTATTGATAAAGGAGTACCTTGTTACATTATGTACTTCATAGGAGCAACACTGTATTGATTACAGCGTTTGACTAAAATAGGCGAATGCAGTAACGAAGTTAATGAGGTTGTTACGGTGTTTGACTGAAATTGTTCAGTCATTACAGGGAATGACTGAAATCCTTAGTCAAACGTTGTAATAAACAAACTGTTACGGTGTTTGCCGGCAATACGGGAACTGGGTAGGCATTTCAGGGAATGCCGGATTTCAGCGTTTGACGCCGACATATATACAATACAACCTGTCTATGCATTTCGCTATATGTAGTATTAGAAAAAGTATTGTTCGCTTACGCTTATTTTATTGTGATACATACAGCTTCTTCTAACATAGACTATATTGTTTTAGTGTTAATATTTTTTTATAACATCTTTATGGCTTCACAATAAACTTCTGTTTGGAGTAATAATGCGCTTTTCTGATCAAAAATCGATGGTTGTTACACATTGAGATACACATATACAAGAGACACAGTATTAACAATATTTATCCATCTTACCAGACGCCATTGATTATTGCATCTAGCAAACATTTGATCAGCATTCCAAACAACATCGTAGGCCATGAGTCTGAAGGTAGGAAATGTATTGGTTGGGGCATTAAAAAAAGGTTTCGACAGTACCTAGCTAGTAAACATGCTTTAATCCGTCCTACCAAAAGACAGCCAAGCATAGATAGCTGTTTCGTGCTTCTTGGCTACTCATCAGCATGGTCTATGCTTGGTCTCTCGTCTGTGGGACAACAAACGAAAGCATCGCAACTATCCTCAATCCAGGAGATACAGCTATCGGAATAAGACAGCGCTCTCCCCAGTGGGTTTGCAAAGAATTCAAGTAATAAGGTTGCACTTCAATTCTTCAAATAACAACGTTAAATTTGCTGCGCTGAGCAAAATCTTATTTATCACTTATTTCTTTAGGAACGGCAGCAAAATCTGGGTATTAGTGTTTACACATAAATCATAGAAATGCCTTATTATGACTTAAACTCCAAAGGACAAATTACAAAATCACAATTCATCTGTTATTACGAAGGTAATCAAAAATAAACACAGAATACTATTACGATGGTTTCATACGAAAACCTGCCAAATATTCCAACGTAACATTAAATGTTAAGATCAGATTTAACTGCCAACATGTTATGCACCTGCTCATGATATCATTAAAAATTGCTCTGAACCTTGACGAGTCCAATACTGTTGTTAACAAACAATCGTCCCTTCTACAAAGTGCATGAATGTCATGAAGACGGGGCTTGGCGATGTTTTGGTATTTTTATAGTCAAACTGCCTGCCTTTTATTTTGTTTGTAGGATTTTTTGTCCTAAGCGCAGCCTCAGTAACTCCTGACACTACCTAGTTCAGGTTCTCATCTACCACAACATATCTATAATATATACATACATTTTGGAGTATTCGAATAAAATGGACAAGTACGACTAAATGCTCGTTCCTTGTTCAAATCCATCTGAATTTTATGTTTCTATAGTATCACAAATTAAGAACTTGACGCGGACGTGGAGTTGGGTCCACCCTGGGTAGATTCAAAATTTTAACTATAAATCTAAGCACTCTATCATGTGCGAAAGATAAAGGTGATACTGCCATCTATGAATAGTTTCTACAGTTGCGGTACTACCAACCTCTACCTTCGGTAGCAGAGAACCATAGCTTCCAGTTATCTCTGAAGGATAGTGTCCACCTCCAATAAGTCGAACAAGGTCGTCCACTACAAAAGCGTCCAATCGTCAATCAGGGGAGTACCAAGTGCTCACCATGCTCCCAGCATTGACGTACTATGTAAAAGTTGTATAAACTAAGTACAAGCTGAATAGGAAGTCCAACCATATACAATGTTATTTCATGCTTTTTAGCAATGATCAGTATGGTATAGGTCTGGTTATTCGGAGACAGATGATGGAAAACGTACAAGCTAATGCTGTTCAGCTAAGAATATAGTTAAACCACATATACAGGGTAAGTTTTAGTTGGGCATGGCCGATACCTCCGATACTGCGTATTGTATATAAAAAGATTAAACACATAAATTGTAGCGTACCATGGAAAAACTTTGCCAAGTATCTTGGTGTCACTCTTGATAAGGGAATGACCTGGCTGAAACACATAGAAGCATTAAAAGCCAAATGGGAAATTACATTTCGGCAACTTTAACCGATGCTATAGAGAACCTCAAAATTAAGTTTGATCAACAAAGTTCGTCTACACAATATGGTTGTTAGACTAGCGATCACTTATGCGTGTGTGGCTTGATGTTTTTGCGCCAAGACGCATTTGCGCAGTCTGCAGGTTTTGCAGAACAGAACTCTGCGAACAACCAGTAACGCCCCATGGTATGTCTCCAATGAGGCGCTGTACCTAGACATCCCCTATCTGAGGGACTATGTCAAATTACAAGCGCAGCTACGTTATAGTCAGGCGAAATCGCATAGCAACCCTTTATTGCGGCTGCTAGTATATTACACAATCCAGCAAGTTCGCACCGGTGTGAAGTTAGCAGACAAAATTTAGCGAACAATTTGCCGAAGATACCCGAATGACCAGTAGCGTCGACATCCTCGATACAGCTAGCAGCTCGCAACAATAAATAGACGATAATAAGCACCCCTATAGGAAGAATCATTTTCCATTATAATTAAATAATTTGCAGGAACAAATAATTGTCTCTACAATAGAGTATTTTTTTGAGGTGCATCTGATTTTGGGGAATCATTTCCTTGGGGGTGAAAATGAATTTAAAATCATATTTTTTTATCTGAAAGCCTTTCAGAAGCTTTCTCACGCCATGCCACCTAGCCTATAAATTGTCTCTATAATAGAGTATTTCTTTGAGGTGCAACTGATTTTGGGAAATCATTTCCTTGGGGGTGAAAATGAATTAACAAACATATTTTTTTATCTGCCAGCCTTTCAGAAGCTTTCTCACACCATGCCACCTAGCCTATAAATTGTCTCTATAATAGAGTATTTTTTTGAGGTGCAACTGATTTTGGGGAATCATTTCCTTGGGGGTGAAAATGAATTTATAAACATATTTTTCTATCTGCCAGCCTTTCAGAAGCTTTCTCACACCATGCCACCTAGCCTATAAATTATCTCTATTATAGAGTATTTTTTTGAGGTGCAACTGATTTTGGGAAATCATTTCCTTGGGGGTGAAAATTAATTTATAAACATATTTTTTTATCTGCCAGCCTTTCAGAAGCTTTCTCATACCATGCCACCTAGCCTATAAATTGTCTCTATAATAGAGTACTTTTTTGAGGTACAACTGTTTTTGGGGAATCATTTCCTTGGGGGTGAAAATGAATTTATAAACATATTTTTTGATCTGCCAGCATTTCAGAAGCTTTCTCACACCATGCCACCCAGCCTATAAATTGTCTCTATAATAGGGAATTTTTTTAAGGTACAACTGATCTTGGGGAATCATTTGGGTGAAAATGAATTAACAAACATATTTTTTTATCTGCCAGCCTTTCAGAAGCTTTCTCACACCATGCCACCTAGCCTATAAATTGTCTCTATAATAGAGTATTTTTTGAGGTACAACTGATTTTGGGGAATCATTTCCTTGGGGGTGAAAAAGAATTTATAAACATATTTTTTGATCTGCCAGCATTTCAGAAGCTTTCTCACACCATGCCACCCAGCCTATAAATTGTCTCTATAATAGAGTATTTTTTTGAGTTACAACTGATTTTGGGGAATCATTTCCTTGGGGGTGAAAATGAATTTATAAACATATTTTTAAATCTGCCAGCCTTTCAGAAGCTTTCTCACACCATGCCACCTAGCCTATAAATTGTCCGCTAAATTTTGTCTGCCAACTTCACACCGGTCAAGTTAGCACGCACACAAGACCGCGAACTATGAGAAAATCGTGTCACTTTAGGTCTAACTAAAATTACAATTTTTCTACAACAACGAATCTCTAAATTAATATTTGGATGAATTAAAAATTCTCGAATACAATGCCAAGGCGCCCCTCATTCTGACACACTTCCTCCTCTTTGCTGTTCCTCCTTGCCTTCTTTCTCTCTTCTTTGACTGATGTCTGGACAACCAGACCTGAGATCTGCTGACTTATGATGCTTTAATCAAGAGCCCTTTGCTAGGACTGCTGTGACAGACAATGACGAATAGAAGAAGTCACAGGATGCGAAAAATATAGTATTGTGATTTGCAAAAAATAAAGGTGACACTGCCACCTATTGACAGTTTCGCCAATTGCTGTGTTACGGACGCTTTTAAAGGGCGGAACAGGGTCGTCCAGCACAAAAGCGTTCCATCGTCTTTCAGGGGAAGACTAAGTACCAGCATTGAAATATTATGATTGCTAGAGAACATGAAGTGACGTTGAATATGGGTTATGGTCGCAGAGACGGAAAGCAGACATATCATATCCACTCTATTCGTGTTTTGTCTTTAATCATAAACATTGTTGCATATGTAGTTCTATTAACTAGTAAAATAAGTTTGGGCCGACATTTGAACCTGAAGAATTGTATGCATAACCTGCGTCATCTATTTTGTGGTATAAGGGATCCTGGATCGATACTTCTTTGAAGAAGCTTAGGGGTCATATTTTGTGAAGGCTCTGAACTTCAATTTTGTACATTCCTCAAAGGACTGTACGAACACTTTTTACATAGCACTTTGAGCAATTAAAAGCCTTTTCCGTGTATCACTTTGGGTACTTTGGAACTGGGTTCAGTAGGAAGATAAACGAAGTGTTACGACTAAAGGACGTAATTCAGTAATTGTTAGTTGGTTCTAAAGAACCAACACTAGGAGAGTTACACTTTATTATGATGTAGGTATTGCATAAAATTTAATTTAGATTACCCACAGCCACTCCTGCGTAAAAAATAGCCGAGGAAAAAACCTCGCATTCATCTGAGACATTTTCTGACTCGATTTTTTATTGTAACATCTGAAACTTATCCTGTTGTTCACATGTGGGTAATCCCCCATGCTTGTCCATCCAAACCATTGCACTTGCAACATTATAGTCGTAAAATTGCATAACACTTAAAAGGGGTGTTACGACAATAGAACTGCCATTATGTCGTTTTTTGACATTATATCGGTTTTTTGACATTATGTAGGATTTCCTACAAGTCGTCAACTTGGATCTAGTTGTTGTTCACTTCACGCTCACTTGTAGCAAGCGCGGGATGCACTATTTTCACACTACAACAAGTTGACATTTTACCGGTGTTTCTTATATTATATGCATATAGTCAACGTCAAACAAAGTGGCGTGCACGTCATCAAGGTGGGTGTGTTGAAAAATTTACATTGTTGCCAAACTTTTTGTAAAATAATAAAATTTATTATTTACATATCTAGGTTTATAAGCAATATTAACCTCAAATGAGAACAAAAATAATAGTATAATAAAATTATAGATCTGTACTTGCATAATCATTAAGTATGACAATTATTGATCAGATGACACTATGA